AATATTTTACCGGCCATTGCCAGCGACTAGGCCATGGCAAAAAAAAATAAAAAATATTTTCAATAAAAATATTTTTTTATTAAAATATTACTAATAAAAAAATATTTTATCGGCCATGGCCAGCGACCAGGCCATGGCGAAAAAAAAAGAAAAAAATATTTTCAATATTTTTTAGTAAAATATTTAAAAAAAAATTATTAATAAAAAAATTATTTATAAGAAATTTTTTTACCGGCCATGGCCAAAAAAAATAAAAAAGTTATTTTTAATAAAAGTATTATTAATTAAAAAATATTTTACCGACCATGGCCAAGAAGGAGGAGAAGAAAAAAAGAAAAGAAAGAAATATTAAAATATTTAGAATGTTATTAAAATATTATTAATAAAAAGAAATTTTATACCGTTACCAAACGCATTTTTGTTCTTTTACTATTTTAGGAATAGAAATTTTGGGCCGTTACCAAACGCCTTCAAATGCTAAGAATCAGTTCCCGAGCACATAATAAAAAAGAATCATTTCTGATCAGAATCTGTTCCCGGGCACAGAATGGTTGCCATGCGCAGCCTAAATGGGATTTTAATGTAAGTTGTCACATGAATTTTATATAAGAGATCTACAAACAGAATATCTTGGTACCATATTCATCCACACATTATTGTTTCCCTTTTGGGTTGGACCCATTTTTGACTCATCTAAATTCGACCCACCCGTTTGACAAGTCCAAACGGATTGTAAATCTCGAGTCGGATTGTGTTCTTAGGAAAGAAAGTACTGTAGATGAATTGCGCATATGACATTTGTTATGCAGTTTTTTTTTTCAGAATGCCGGTCCGGAAAAGTGAGTTACTTGTTTTAATTATATGAATTATCTTCTAGAACCACAGAGCCCTAGTGTTCTAAATCTAACATATCTATCATCAAACACGAAAGGGAAAATGGTGACAAGTTGGGAGACAAGTTGTATGCAGCAAGTCACTTGTTCTTTTGAATACTACTACTCCGTAAACAGAAGTTTTTACTTGAGGTAATTCAATTTCGGGCACTTGACTACATAAAACTTGTCGCGATCCCACTCGAGTTTTGACTTGCGTCTTCCCTAGTTCATGATATAAGTGAGGTATTCCATTGGCCCGGGATATAAGATGAAAGGTTCGATTGTGACAAGTGCATGTCTTTGGCCTCTTGTTTTCTTTTTCCCCTAGTTACGAATCGATAGGAAGGACTTTCGAGACGATCGATCCAAGAACAGAAGAGCTGATAGCGAGAGTTGCAGAAGGTGATGAGGAAGATGTTGATTTGGCTGTCAAAGCCGCTCGAGAAGCCTTTGATCATGGCCCATGGCCTCACATGTCCGGCTACGTAGTGCCTTGTATCTTCATATTGCTATTCTAAATATAGCACACATCATACAAAATGTGGGCTCGTCTTTATTACGAAAAGAGAGATCTCCTGCCAGTATCACACATAATGTCTGTATAGACTCATCAACAGCTATCTTTGATTGTTCATGTCTATTTGTGTCCCTTGTACTCGTGTCATGACCAGGAAAGGGGGCGGATCATGTCAAGATTCGCAGACTTGATCGACGATAACATAGAAGAACTGGCTGCTCTGGACACTATTGATGCCGGCAAGCTGTTTTCCTGGGGCAAGGCCTTGGACATTCCCTGCGCCGCCTCACTGCTGGGGTACTATGCGGGTGCCGTGGATAAAGTCCACGGGGAGGTGCTGAAGATGAAGAGCGAGCTCCACGCGTTCATGCTGCACGAACCCATTGGTGTGGTCGGGCACATCATATCATGGAACTTCCCGAGCAACATGTTCTCCATGAAAGTCAGCCCCGCGCTGGCTGCCGGTTGCACCATGGTTGTGAAGCCCGCCGAGCAGACCCCACTGTCAGCCCTCTTTTATGCTCATCTAGCTAAAAAGGTAAAGCAACCATTTTCAGACACCTTGTTCTTTACGTTTACATTTCAAGTTTGTGAGATTGGAAAGAAAGACATTGTTGAGTTTTCCAGCAGAACACAATATCAAACACAGTTGTCACATAGTTTTTCTCTTAAAAGCTTTTTGATCTGTCAGGTCAGAACCGCTATGTATGTGTTCCTCTAGATTTCTTCTATCTTTGGGAAGGCAGTAGAAGCAGGTCCTCCCTCCCTCTCTGTCTTCTTCTCGCCGCTTTTCTCGTTCATCCTGCCCTGCGCCGCTTACAAATTCAGTTGCAGTTGTCTAAGCATCTGTGAGTGTTGGGGTACATATTCTCCTTATCCTGCAGCACCTTCTAGGAATTCCTACCTACCTCTTAGAGAGGGGAATATTTAGCATGAAGCTATTGCATTTGGGTTTTCCGTAACCAAAATGAAAGAAAGTCAATCTAGTCCTGCAATTGCGGTCCAAATGTGAAGCTGAGGCAAAGACATCTTCTCTTGGAGATTGACAATCGCAAGGCAATTCTTAGTAGTGCGCTTTGTATTCCTAGACTGACAGAGGGAATGCTGATTCTGCTTGATTGGATTCTGTTGCTTCCATCTTTTGATTTTGGAACTAAAATTTACACCAAGACCTATTACACTCGATTCCATTAAAGTCTTATTCGTAATGTGTTGACTTTTGAGGGTTTCTTTCATCGATTTGCTGATCAGGCCGGTATTCCGGACGGGGTGATCAATGTTGTAACTGGTTTCGGATCAACAGCCGGTGCAGCTATTACCAATCATATGGACATTGATATGGTAAATTCCTAGTTCTAATCTTATGGATGCTATCTGTCCCTAATAGCCTGTGATCGATAAAATGCGAGTAAAACTATGATGACCATTCTTTTGTTTTGTTTCGGATTTGAACCTTCAATTATCTGTCTCGAAAACATAAATGTCAGCTTCGCGGGATCCACGGAAGTTGGGCGCCTAGTAATGCAGGCGGCGGCTACGAGCAATTTAAAGCCGGTGTCACTAGAATTGGGGGGGAAATCACCTCTTCTAGTGTTTGATGATGCCGATGTAGATACAGCTACTGATATCGCTCTCCTCGGAGTCCTTTATAACAAAGTAAGCTGCTTAAAACTATGCCTGCAAGTAAGATATATCATAGTCCGAGGGGCGAAGAAGTAGAGAGACCTCATGATTTAACTCTTTGACTTTAGGGAGAATATGCATCGCGGGGTCTCGTGTTTACGTCCAAGAAGGGATCCACCAGGAGTTCGAGACGTAGCTGGTGGAGAAGGTAAAAAATTGGCTGATCGGTGATCCTTTTGATCCAAATTCCCGTCAAGGACCCCAGGTTAGAGCTGGAATATATAAGCAAAAGACACTTTAAGTCGATGGAACTGAAATAGCCGGCATCGAATGAGCGACATTATGTGAATGATCACTTACGATTTAACGACTGGCGCAGGTGGACAAGAAGCAGTTCGAGAAAATACTTTCATACATTGAACACGGAAAGAGAGAAGGAGCCACCCTTTTGACAGGGGTGAGCCTCTGGACACAAAAGGGCATTACATTCAGCCGACGATTTTCGCCAATGTCCAGGTAAAAATTCCGATCTCTTTTCACAGAGAAACATTATCAAAAAAAAGGATTTTAAGTTCCGATTCGCGCTTTTGTCATCTTCTCGGAAAACATCAGGAGAATATGCCAATTGCGAAGGATGAAATTTTCGGACCCGTGATGTCGCTCATGAAGTTCAAGTGAGTATATACTCTGTAACCCCTTAGACATTTGGGTTATCTGTTCTGATGCAAGTGAACAACAAACATTTAGCTGATGAAAGAACTGAGCAAGTACAGGACTGCTGAAGAGGCAATACGGAGAGCCAACAGCACCAAGTACGGCCTCGCGGCGGGAATTTTGACAAAGGACATTAACGTGGCGAACACCGTCTCGCGGTCGATCCGGGCAGGGATCATCTGGATCAATTGCTACTTCGCGTTCGACAACGATCTGCCTTACGGAGGGTGCAGGATGAGCGGCTTCGGAAGGGACATGGGCTTGGAAGCTCTTCACAAGTATCTTCACGTCAAGTCTGTTGTCACTCCCATCTTCAACTCTCCTTGGCTCTGAAAATTTGAAAGGGCTCAGTTTAATAAGTTCATCCTTGAGGACTTGAATAGTATGGAGCTGTAAAATCATTTATGGACCTGCACAATCTCATGGGTAAGTTGGCGGGAAATGTAAGGCGCGAGGGATCGAAAATAGAAGGAAATCGAAAGATAAGGAGTCGCGACCTGCGCGCGAAGGTCGAAGGTGGGCTTTACAGGCCGCCGCACTGAATTGTTCGAGCGATATGTGTGTTTGTTCGCCTCGCTTAACGCATGAATTCGAACCGTCGTAAATGCGCATTCTTCTGAGATCACTTTCAAATTGGAGACCCGTGTGTGTCTCTCTCTATTAATCATCCGATGTGAGCGAGGTATGGCGACAACCGCCACAACCGATGGAGAACGGTCAAGTGCTCGCTCGGTGATACACAAAATCAACAAACGAGAAAAGCACTAAAAGTTTGACAAAAAAAAAAGGATTAATATCAGGAAAATCTCAAATTTGTACATCTGCTACTCTAAAAAATCTCAAACCGGTATACCGTAACAAATGTATTATCGTTAGTTTTTGTCAAATTTTACCATCAAAATATCGAGTTAGATGACATGTGATACTCGACGGGTGTATCAGTTTGGATTTTCACCTTCCGTTTGTCATATGTATACCGGTTCGTGATTTTTCATGGTATTTAATCTAATTTAATAAAAACTAACGGAGGGTAAATTTGTCGCGAGTGTACCGGTCTGGGGCTTTTTGGGTGGAGGTAAATTTGTCACAGGTATACCGGTCCGGGGTTTTTCGTGCTATTAACAAAAAAAAAAAAAAAATAAACACTAAAACCGGTTCGGTTTTATCCGGTCCAACACGGTCCGACCGGAGGGGCGCTGCCCTCGAAAAATCGGGGAGCGCTAAAATTGGCGCGCTCAAAGTTCCACTCTTTACTTTCCTCTTCTCACTCCTCTCTCTCTCTCTCTCTCTCTCTCTTCTTCTTCTTCTTCTTCCATTTCTGCGCCCAGAAACCTCAGCGATGCAGCGCCAGAAGTCCATCCTCTCCTTCCTCAGGCCCTCGTCGGACGGCCGGAGCTCCGGCGGCCTCCAGGGCGCCGCCGCCCCCGGCGATTGCGCGGCCGGCTCGTCCGCGGAGGTGCGCGGCACCGACACTCCGCCGGAGAAGGCGCCGCGCCAGGTCCTCCGGTCGGGCGGCGAGGACGGCGGTCCCTCCCTGTACTCCAGCATCATGCGCAAGTTCGTTAGGGTCGACGGCGAGGAGAGGACGAGCGATCGGTGCGTTTTCCCTATCCATCGGGGAAATGACGGGGATGTTTTGCTTGTTATTTTTTGGATGCTTTTTTCTATGTCGTCTGGTGCTTCTGCTTTGTTGTATTGCTTCTATTTTTCGTTTAATTTTAGCGAGCACTTTTGCTCGAAGCTGGGTTTCTGCTTGGATTAAGCTTGAGGAATAGCGTGGAGATGAATACGATGATATGCGTTACTCTTTTTTTCAGTTTGGTTGCTGTGTTCTGGCGAGAAAACCACATTGATAGAACTTAGCTAGATGTTAGTTTGATTTTGTGAAAATTTGCTTTTTAGTGATTGGCCTATGTTCAAGCTGTGTCATTGCGAAGCTACGGTCTCTCGATAAGCAATTTATTTTAGGCTTATGACGTGATACCTGCTTTAGCAATGCTGTAGGTTGAAATTCTTGTGATGTGCTAGTTCCTTCGCATCCCTTTGACTATGCCACATAATGTCAGAACCCATATGCTTGCATTGCATTCCAAGGAAGGTATTAAGTCTGCATAAGGCTCTTGTTTAGGAATGATCTAAGGCAAACAAACGCCATAACTCCTGTAACAAAAAACTTCTATGGATTTTTTCCTTTTGTGCCTGGCGAGGGCGTGTGTGGATAAGGGCTACTTTTATTTGTTCTCATCGGTTGTATTGATATTGATCCTGCGCATTGTGATGCCTCTATGTCCATCAACTGTCATACATATATAGATACTTGTTTTTTCCCTAATTAGCTTCTTTTTCTTTGTTGAGCTCCTTAAAAGTTGCGTTCTTATATTTTGCAGGAACAATTCGCAGTCGCACTATGGTACATCTAAGGCTTCCCCTTTATTTGATAAAGTCGGTGACCTCAGCGAACATCCTAGAACGGACAATGACTTCAAGTTCAACAAGAAGGTCGATCATGAATGTTTCATGGAAATTGAAAGTGATAGTGACATTCTTGGTCCCGAAACACCAGGTGTTCGACCCCTTGTGCCTCGATTTAAGCGAGTTCAAGAGGAAACTCCTAAGTTCGAGTCTAAACATGACTCATCCTCTTTCAATCCTGGCAAAAAGTTGAAAATTCTTCCCGACTCTATTTGCAAACCCTCAAATAAGAATGAGAAAGACACACAGGATCCTACAAGCAAATTTGAATGGCTTGATCCTTCTCGAATTAGGGATGGTAACAGAAGAAGACCTGATGATCCTCTCTATGACAAGCGGACGCTTTACATACCTCCTGAGGCTTTGAGCAAGATGTCAGCTAGTCAGAGACAATATTGGAGTGTTAAATGTCAATATATGGATGTTGTGCTTTTCTTTAAAGTGGTTAGTTTCTTCTGCTTCTCATACTACATTATTTAGATCATACTGTAGATTTCCAATTGGAGAACACTTCACTGAAAATTGATAATAAAAAAGAGTCATTGATATTTGTTTGGTGCATTAGGTGCATGTCAGGCAAGACATCTGTTCCACATAGGAAAAGTTATTTGTACTTTCCAATCTCTATGTGCTTCAAGTTCTGCCTAAGTTTTTGACATGTCTTGGGTCACTTAATCATCTTGTGCTATTGGATCAGAATTCACCCTCTAATTCTAGTAATGATTCAGCATATTTCTTTGGTCTCATATGTCTAAAAGGTATTGAATGCTTTTTGATGCAGGGAAAGTTTTATGAGCTGTATGAACTGGATGCAGACGTTGGTCACAAAGAGCTTGACTGGAAGATTACATTAAGTGGTGTTGGAAAATGTCGGCAGGTATTCTGGATGAATCTTTTAACTCATTTTAGATATATTGTGAACCGATTAGAAGTGCGCAATTTACTCAAGAAAGTAGTGAGCTTAATTTGATATATTCATTTTCTCTACCCTGCTAACCAGGTTGGAATCTCCGAGAGTGGAATCGACGATGCTGTTCAGAAACTGGTTGCTCGTGGGTAAGAAAATGGCCTACTTTCTATAATAATTATGTAGCCTAGTCAATTGCCCCAATTTTTCTTTATGGATAAAATATTAGGAGTTTGTGTTATTAGTGAGTTTTCTTTATCTGTTTCTGACATAGTCACCGTGTTGATAGGTTCTAGAATCCTCTTTACGTTATAATGGACTATTCTTTTTAGGATGAACACCTTTATCTGGTGCTGTGTTGCATGTCTACTTTTCCTGCATCAATGTATATTAGGTTTGCTGTGTCTGTTTTTGAAGATATAAAGTTGGACGAATGGAGCAAGTGGAGACATCTGCACAAGCAAAAGCCAGAGGTCCAAATTCTGTAAGTGTCCCGTTTCTCTTCTTTGCTTATGTTTTCAAATAAATGGTCTGTAACGTGGCCTTATTTGCTGTACTTGAGGATGATGAACTGATGGGACATATTGAAGGTTAGGAAGAATTCGTATCTATATTGGCCTTTTTTAACCATAGATTGGTTGCGATAATGCACTCTCCTTCACTGTATGCTCGATAAAATGGCTTAAGCATATGGGTTAGAGAATCCCATAGTTACTTCACTTGTTCATGGGATTTGTCTGCCTTCTATATACATATAGGTTCCTTTTACCCAATAAATTAGTCTCTTGGGTTGAACTCTCTGGGACGCATTAGAGCCAAGTCTTAATTTTCCATACCTCATATAATATTTCAGTTGGCATGTGGTTCTTGTCTGTTTTATTTCCCGTTTGCCAATTTCATATTTTGTTCTTCTTTTGGTCTGCACGTGAGAAGTGGTGGTAATCTGTCTCATATACATATAGTCTCTTTCTACCTAACAGTTTAAGTTGTTGAGTTGGAATTTTGACGATATGACAGTATATTCAAGAAGTGACAAGGACCTGAACTTTCTTCTGTTGCTCACCTCTTAATTCCATTCTTTTCTACTTCTTTTTGCATTCTGCTATTAATTGGAAAGAAGCTTTCACCGAGTTTAGCCTTTGAAGAACGATGATGCAAATTACGGGAATGCAAGTCAGATTGAAGGCACCGTTTGCTTCTTCAGGGCAAGAATATGTGATGATTTTGAAAAGCTTGTTGCCTTCACTAGGTGTTTTGCGCAGATGAATTAAAACTAGTGTTGTAGAAGAGTGAGATGTAAAATCTTCTAATGGATGCTCAGATAGTGAAGTGACTGGTTCATATGGATGGTGCACTGGTCTGTTGTTGTCATGCCTTCTGAGTAAGTTCTATGAGCTACTTACCACCTATTTGCCTACTACACCAGCTTGAGTGTGCTATTAGTTTTCGATATTCTCTTCTAGTCACGAGTTCTTGATGTCAAATCCATGAAGCATTTTCTATCTCTTACTTCGGGGCAAGGAGGTTCGATTTGGTGTGCTGCACTTCCTTTTACTTCAAGTGCTCACCTTAGTGTTTTACTGCATCACATGGATTAGGTAATTTCAAGAAAATTGGTTCATGTGATTACTCCATCAACCTCAGTGGATAGCAACATTGGCCCTGATGCTGTTCATCTTCTTGCAATAAAAGAGGTTAGTAATTGCTTGATGTAAAATTTTGTAACCTAGGTTGATGCATATGTGTTATCTTGTCTTGCTTTTGCTTGTTGCTTCTTAATCTTATTCCTTTGTTAGTAGTGGATACTCCCATGATTTGTTTCATTTGCACACCTCTATCGCTAGATGATATAAGCACTTCATAGTGCCATTGATGAAAACTGAAGCATAGAGGCAGACTTTTGCATTCACGCTTTCTCTGATATGTATGAATTGGGCATGAAGTCAACCTTTGCTAGTCGTAATGCATTTTATGTTAATCAATAACTTTCATCCCTGGAAACAATGTGGAGATGAGGCTCGTTATCAACAAAATGATTCTAAAGGTCCTCATCAGATAATGAAATTTATTTTGGTATGAAACAAAGTTGTTAGATAATTTGTCGATGGTAGTGTAGCTATTAAAATTTTCCCCGCACGTGAAATTGTGAGGTTGCTTCTAAAGTTGGTGTTCTTACCCTATTTTGTTTTAGGGGGAGCATGGACAAGATGGCAGTTCAATTGCCTATGGTTTTGCTTTCATTGATTGTGCTGCTCTGAAGTTTTGGGTTGGTTCCATTAATGATGATGCTTCTTGTGCTGCGTTGGGGGCTCTGTTGATGCAGGTACTCATTTCTGTCTTCTTATTCTCAGCATGTACTATATCACTCATTTAAACCAAATCTGGTTGCAGGTAGCACCCAAGGAAGTGATATATGAGAGCAGAAGTAAGCTCTCTCTCTTTTTACAGTGTGTGTTTTTTTTTTTCTTTGGCGGTAATGAGCTTTGTCAGTTTGCATTGGCACCTGCTAGAGTGCCTTTAATCTGTATTTTCCTCCTTGGGCTGGGAAGAGTTCAATTTATGTTATTAAACATGATGCGGAATTCTCTGAACATTACAGGTTTATCAAAAGAAGCATTGAAAGCAATCAGAAAGTACTCATTGACAGGTGAGAGATGGTGAACCTGACCTTTTGCTATTCAATTTCTCTACCCTTCTTAGTATAGATCTTAAAGCAATTTGACTTAAGATTTAGGACTTCAGTGTCCTGCTTGATTCCAATAATGTAGGTTCCTTAACATGTCAAAACCATTAGGCTCACAGGATTGAGCAGATCTCTGTCATCCATTTTGTATTTGTCCTATAATATTCTTGATGAAACTTACATTTCCCCTATAGGCAGTATTGACTTATGTGTTTTACTTTCTGGAGCAAAAGTATGCTG